ATGTGGGTACCCACATCCCAGGACCACAGGCCCCTTACCAGAGGGATGGACACCAGGAGCATAGAAGTCCAGAGGGGGCCGGCCCTGGAGGAGGCGGGGGTCCACATACGGAGGAATCATCATCCAGCGGGGATCAAAGTTCATTGGGGGCATAGGTGGGGGCCGGCCCAGAGCACCTGGGTAAAGGGCCTTGGGGGGTGGTGCCTGTGGAGCTGGCACAGCCCCTATGGTCACAGGCTGTGGTGGTGAAGGGGGCACTGGTGCAGGTGGGGTGGAGCCCTGTTGATGCTGCTGCCACTGCTGTTGCTGCTTCAAGAGCTGCTCCTGGTGAAAGACAAAAAAGGCATCACGGCTCCCCACCCCAACACAGGAAAAGGAACATAAAAAACAAGTCAATACACAAATGTGACACATACCTGTACCAGATAAAGACAGAACTGGTAGAGAGGCAAAGAAGGGAACTAATGGATAGTGTAAACAATGGAACTAGGGACAGAAACAGCTCTTTAAGAAGAGAAATAATTTGATCTCACCTGTTGCCGCTGGAAACGAGGAGGCAACAACTTCTGATACTTGGGGTAGCCCAAGCCCTGGCTGGGGGCCTGCCGGGTGGGACCAGCCCCATCACCCTTGGGTTCCATCTTTGGGGCTGGGGGTGTGGCAGGAGAAGAAGCTTCTTCTGGTGGTTCAGGACCCTCTTTTGAGGGCAGCTGGGGTTCCACTGCATTGATGAAAAGACAAAAACCAGAGTAGCCTAGCCCTCCACATACATTCCATGAACACCTTCAAAATTTCAGCTCTTACCTCTAGCTCCCTCTCTAGGGTAAGTCATTCCCACTTAAAACACACGAAACACTTCATGGCCTCTCAAAAGCCAATGGTGGTGGAATTAACTACCCATGAAACCAACAAAATAACACTTTAGAGTCTTGTGCCACACAAGGCTATGAAAAGCGCTTTTAAGTCACTAGGTATTAAGGAATTCAGGTAGCAAAAGCTCCTCACACTGACAATCCAGTAAGCCCAAACTACCTTCTATTTCACTTCTTCCCATCCTTCCTACACACAGCCTTCACCCAAGCAGAGAAGAAATGTGCCACCTAGTAGCACCTACTCCCGTCTCCATACCTGGGCTGGTTTCGAAGCTGCCACTGCTGGTGTTAATGGTACTGCCACCACCGGTGCTACTGGTACTGCCACCACCACTCACCAGGATGGGAGATGGAGCCACACCTGGAGTGGGGGTAGACTGGGCAGGAGGAGCCTGTGCTGGCTCTTCTGGTTCTTTTTCTGGTGTTGAGGCTGGTGCTGGCGAAGAAGCTAGAGGTGTGGGGAGTTCTTTGGGTACAGCAGGTGGCGGCGGCACTGGGGCAGGAAGGGCAGCAGGCTCTGCTTTCAGTCGCTTGTCAGGTGCCCCGAATTTCTCATCAAGCCGCTTAAGCTTCTCCGCACAGGCTGCCCGACGCTCCTCCTGCATGCGGCGCTCCTCCTCTTCTCGTCGCCGCCGGGCCCGCTCCACAGCCAGGGAGATCTCAGATGAAGACTGCTTCCGCCGCTGCCGCCACGCCTCATCCTCATCTTCAGGTGCTGGGGGCTTGCAGGGTGGGCCCCCACGATCCTGTTAATGGGTAGACCCAGCGGGGCCAGAGATGTGAGTTACTATGTTTCTTACGATCTCTTTTATATAATGATCAACTGTCTCTACCTCTGGGTGCAAGGATCAGGTCTTGGGTTGATGGCCTCTGAGTAGGGACAAACTCATCTTCCTAGTTTTTGTTTCCTTTCTCCTTTCAGAGATCCAAATACCCAGGCTACCTTGTTCTTACTCTCTAGAGAGTACTTTTACCCAGACTCCCCTAACACCAAGGATGTTCCAAAATTTGCCGTATTCTCCAAAGCTCTACACTTCCGGCAGCCCATGTTTGACCCTCCCTCTTGCTTCCTCTCTAATTGCTCCTATAATCACGTAGCTGACACTATTATCCACAACTGACCCCTTCAACCCCTCACTGTAGACACTCACTGGGTGGTCCCCAGGAGGCCCCCAGTTCCCAGTGGGGCCCCGGTGAGGTGGGAGTTGGGGAGGCTTTGGGGCTGGAGGCCCCGACTCTGTCTCTGGAGGCCGAGAGGTCTCTGCCCAGGCTGTCTTGGGAGGGGGAGGTTCACTGCCGGCGTAGGTGCCCTTTTTGCCATCTGCTTCAGGGGGCCGTTCCTCACCAGCAGTTGACTGGGACTCCTTGCTGTGAGCAGAACAATAATGGAATTAAAATCAGCTGCAACCCAGCTACTTTAAAGAGTGTACTACCCTGAGAGAAACTGAGACCCCTCCTCTCCCCAGAGGGCCCTAACTCACTGGCCCTCAGCTCCCTCCTCATCCGAGTCTCGCCCGTCTTCCTCATCACTGAACTTGAGCTTTTCAGTGTAGTCGACCTCCTCATGGGCCCCTGAGGAGAAATATGAAGGGTGGAAGCTAATCATTTTGCTTTTAAATCTCAGGAATCTTCTAGAATACAGGAAGTTGCCTGCAACTATGTGATGAAATGCACTACCAATGCCCATCCTCTGAAGCCTAGATCCACCGGAGTCTTGTCATTCTCAGCCCTCCCAGTTCATTACAGGAATTGGCTTTCCTCCATGTATATGCTTTTCTCCCACAACCCCCCCGCTTTCTTCTCATCAGATTTTTTCCTTTTAAAACCAAAATGCTTAATCTTTAATATTCACTTACCTGCCCAACCATCATCATTCTCCTGATCCAACTGATCAAACTCTTTTAGGTTATCCTCTTTAAGAATGGAAGGCCGACCCACAGGCTCTATAAGGCGCATTGGTGGCCCTGAGCCCCGGGGGCCTACCACACGGGGAAAACGGCTGTGTATAAGAAAGGAAATGGGAGAGAATACGATAAACGATCGTATGGTGTATAACCAAATACAACACTGAGACTCCTAGCTAGGATACTATCATTCCACCAGTAGGCTTCCCCCATCCCCAAGCAGAAACCCAGACCTCGCATTACTCACCTGGGCCCATCAGGAGTCGGGTATCGGTAAGGTCCCTGGGGTCCATAGGGTGAAGGGAAGGGGAGATACGGGGGATACATCTGCAAAAGGGTCCAACAGCAGCTGTTCAGAAGGATGGTCAAAGAGCCTGCCAGCCCCCTAAACCTATATTCTCCCTGTTCTCTATGTCATAGGCCCCTGCTTTCCAGCTGTCCCCTCAAAGACTAAGTTCTAATTTCTAACTGTCTAGCTTCCACTGCAACCACTCCAAAACAAGATATCCAAACTCACGAAGGGCGGCATCATTCCTCGGTAGGGAGGGAACTGAGGTGGGCCAGAAGGCTGCAATCCCCCCCGGGGATCATGGCCGTGATGATGTTTGGAGTCTGGGCCCTCCAGCTCATCAGGGCCACGCCCACCTCCATCCCTCCAAGTTGTAGAATCTGTGTTTTGGAAAAGGCAGAGAGTAAACAGCTGAAAATGATGGGGACCACTTAGCCCTGAGACGGAATAAAGTAATGTCCCAGCCAGTAGGGAACCCCCCTCCCAAATGGCAGCCACTCACTTTGGGGGCGGAGGCTTGGTCCGGGCCCAGACGACTGTTCGGCAGACTCCCTTTCCTTGGCAGCTTTGTCCTGGTCGCCAGCTGCCTGCAGGGTCGGAAATTCCTCTCGAGAGAATCGTGACAGTAGGCTTGATGCCTTTCCACCTGTTGAGGTTGGGGAATAGAGCAGGAGATAGGACTACACTTACTGAGGATGTACCACAAAAGGGGATGGTTCTGACAGGTACCAAATCATCAGGTTCTTGCCTTCAAACCCACCCTCTTTGCATTAGGTGCTCATTCCTCAGGAAACACAGTTCTGGGATACCCTCCTCACCCTCATATAAATAAGAGACAAATGTGCTCACATGCCCCATTAAACTAAATAAAAACCCGAAAATTTAGCCAAAGAGGACTGAGGACACTTCACTAAAGGCACAGTGCAGGGCTCCTGCCCACCACAGTGCCCAGAGTGAGTTCCCCAAATAGCCCTGCTCTCACCATCTCCATGTGCTCCATGGGTGGCGCTGGTTTGTGCCCAGGATTTTACCCCGCTTGGAACGGAAGGGGTGTTCTGGGGAAGCAGAGAAACAATAAACAGTGATATAGATGGGGAGCTACAAGCCATTCTTCTCTCCTCCCCATCAGTAACATCCAGTTCTTCAGATACCTCGGGGGTTGCTGGGGGTCGTTTCGGCTGGTTTGAGGCAGGCGTCTGTGAAGCCAGCAGTGGCTGCGATTCCGGCGGCTGAGCAGTTGAGGCATCGGAACTGTGGGGATGGAAGGATGGGAAAGTTATCCAGAGCCTGAAATGCCTCCCCTACTTCTCCACCGGAGGAGAATATGAACTGAACTCAGGACTATCTGCTACTAATTACAAATATTAGGACACGATTCCATTACCATGTTACCCTGCGTTGGCTTTCATCTGTTTCTTCATGATGCTCTGACAAAAAGTTAAAGATACCATTCCTTAGCCATCTAACAGGAGTCCTAGAACAGGCAGGAGAGAGGCTTCCCTCTTTGACTTTGGCTTTGTGGCTGGACTAGACTAAGCCCAATTCATCCTCAAGTTTGAAGTAAAAATACTCATCATTGTAGGTCCCCCAAAACTCTCTACCTCTTGGGGTCGGACTGCTCCTGTTTGCTTGCCCATCCTGTTCCGTCTTTTGGCACTAGTGAGACGTTGGGGTCATTGCCTTTGTTCTCAGCTTTCAGGCTTGGAAGGTTGGCTGGCGGTGGCATACGCCGGGCAATAGCAACTTTCCCAAGACTCTGCAGGCCATGGCGAGGGGCAACTGGAGAAAAGGTACAGAGAAGGTGAAAAAAATGCCTCCCATCAGAGATCCTCAGTGTCTTACTACCCAACATCTCTTAGAAACCATCCCTTTCTTTGCCCTTATCAATCTCCGAAATCCTACTGGGAAGGCTGAGAGGCATTATATCCAACACTTCTATGTAGGACAGTTGATCCTGAGCCTGCAGGGAGCAAGCTGGCCCCAGACTTCTCCAAGTCCACATTTCTTTACCTCCAATTCTTACGTGTTCAGACAAGGAACCACAGACACACCTTTGCAGGAGAATAATTGGTGTTCACCTACAGCCGAATGCCCCCTACAGGACCCAGGATAAAGCTGGGGAGTCTCTAGTGTTCCTCTATTTTTTTTCCGTAAACTGTACTGTAGTCATTTTCCTTCAAAGAGCTCTAAAACATATGCCCCATTCATGCCCAGCCACCAATAATCAGGAATATCTTTGCAGGACCCTCACCAGCGGGTTTCTGGATCTCTAAGGACTTGCCCTTATACGTATCAAACAGGTTGAGCGAGGAATACTTCTTTCCATCCTTTGCCTTGGCAGTCGGCCCCGAGCGATCGGACATTGCGCTGGAAGCTCATTGAGTATGTTGGGTCCTGCAGGCACCTCCCCCAAAACGTGCCAGAGCCTGTGGGCCAAATACCAAGAGTTTCAGTTTCTGCTCCCTTTACAGACTCCAAAAGAAGCTTGACGATCGATCCCTTTCATTCTCATTAGGAGCCCAGATATGTAGCCCTCTGGTACACTTTCCTCAAGCCTATTCAAAACTCTCTAGTCCCTTTAAGCAACCATGATCTACTCAGCTCCCACAGAGCCCAGACTCCTCTCGCCAAGGAAATCCATACAAAAATCTAGTATTCTCCTTATATAAATACTATAAATACTCTTCCCTCTGTACCAATCAATAAAGGATAGCAACCTCTTCATTATCCCCACAACTAATCATCTCTTCAAAATCATTTCAGAGATACACAATAAAACAGGGCAAGTCGAAGCCTTGGAGGAAACCAGAAAGAGGCATACAGCTCTATCATGCAAGGAACTGTTTTTGGATCCCCAACTTATTAGACACTCTAACTATGCCCCAGGTTCCATTCCCAGCACCTCACTCCCATCTGGAGGTTTGCAAGAAGGTATGCTGGGAGTTTAGGGACTTTTATGAGCTTGCTCAACCAGACTGGGGGCTAGTGCCAAAGAACTCCTCATGGAACTGGGGTTCTACTCACTCCCAAGGTACAGAACCCAAAATACTGAAAACACCCCATCTTTTTCCTACATTTGCCCCCATCCCAGCTCTTGGGAAAAAAAATCTTGTCTGCAGGTGCCATGGTGGCCGGTTCTGACTTACGCTATGCAGATATGAGAAAAACAAAGCATTATGGAGCCACTTCAAGAATACCCTAAAACCGTGAGGCCAAGGTCAAAGCCAACTTCATTTTCTTACCCTCAGTAAGAAATTCCAACAGCAGTCATTTCTTTTCCTAATACCCCCTACTCCCCAAGCAGGCCAAACTCTGCACCGTAAGACGCTTTGGGAGTGACCAGGCATTCATTTACATGGGGGTATGGTGTAAAGGAAAGAGATGAGAGGTGATGGGAAATCCAGGCAGAATCAGGATAAAAACTAAAATTGGAGAGTACTTTAAGACAGGTTCGATGAGAGGATGAGGGCTAATTTGTAGGTGTTTAAGGACAATCTTTGAAAATAAATATATGGAAGAAAAAAGAAGAGTCGTGAAGAGATTAATAAAAGACTGAAGAGAAAAGCAGGTGAGACATAACAGATGTAAGCAGAAATGGTAGGAAAAGCATGCAGCGGAAAGTTAAGGGGATAGTGTCAAGAGACCTAGGAAAAGAGGCGTTGGGGTAGTAAAGAAGAGATAAGGACTAGGAAAAATGAAACAGGAGAGGGAAGATGGAGGAACATAGACAGCAAATATGCGGTATAAATGCAGGGTTCCAGAGTGGGAGAGACTCGATGAAAAAAGGGGCGTCAAGAAGGAGGCCCTTGAACGGGGTGATGGGAGTGGGAAGAATACTCTTAGCGGACCGTCGGGTGCGGCCCACCCCACAGCGGCGGCGGCGGCGAAGGTGGCCTACAGAGAGGGGTGAGATGTCAGCAGCACAGTGGAGGGTGGGGAGTAGCCGGTCCAGGAGAGAGGGTCGCCCCATTAGGTCATGAAGGTGGGTGGGTAGGGGCAGACTAAGGACTCAGAGGGGGGCTGAAGGTGCTGGCCCCAAGGAGGTGGTATCGGAGGGGGAGGGGCAAAGCAGGCCCCGGCGGTAGGAGGACAAAATGGCGGCGGCTAATGGCAGCTTGTCCTCCTCTCCCGCCCCCCCACTCCGCCCGCCACCGCCGCCGCCGCCGCCGCCGCCGCCGCCGCCGCCGCCGCCACCACCGCTCCCGAGCTGGAAAAGGGCGTACGCACTCGGCTCATCCAGACTCACCTGGCCGGGTGTGTGGGGGTCCGGGACCGGGCCCAGCGGCTCCCCGGGGTGGGATGGCGGTGGGGCGGGGGCGGATGGCGGCGGATGGCGGCGGGTTCAGCTACGCCGGTCTCCCTCGTTCCTCCGCGGCAGGGCTCCGACTAACGGCCCATCCGGGCAACCACCAGCCCCGGGAGTACCCTCCACCTCCCGCCTCCCTCCGCGCCTAGACACGCCTCGTTATTTGCATAAAGGGCGGAGTGCTCTCTACTCTATCCCACTTTACTTCCAGGGCTGTTCTTATTTGAAAAAAAAAGGAAATATGCATGAAAAGGAGGGACTTACCCGTACTAGGATGCCTATTGGCTGAAGCGGCAGGCCCCCTGCGTCGGCCGTTGAGACGTGTAGACGGGGCGGGAACGTGGCTCTAGTCGGCCAGGCGTTTGGGGCGCAGAATTTACACTGCGGGGAGAAAGAGGCGGGGCGTGCGTCGTGCGTCCGTGGAAAGATGGGAGCGGAGAGACGTAGGGACGCCGAGAGTGGAAAAAAACGGTGCAGGGTTGTTGGTGCTTTCAGCGGCGGAGGTGGATTGAGAGGACGGGACGGGAGGGATTAGCCGCCGGGGGGCGGAGCATATGTAACCATGGAAGAGTCAACTCGAGCGTCCTTTCGCGATAGGTGAAAGCACCAGGAGGGCGGGGCTTTCATTTATTAAATCACGTTATGTAAATGATGTGGATAGACAGGCCAATGGAAAGGCCCAGGGGAGTGTACCACTGGCGCCGCGCCGCTTGGGCAATCTTTAGGTAGTTCTATTTATTTGCTTAGTATATGCAAATCATTTGAACAAAGTTAGGCAAGGAATGACCTACTCATCAAAATATCGGCAACCAATGACGAGGTGGACATTTTATAACCTGTAATTTTCAAGAAGATATTTGTATATCTGATATTGTTGGTATTTGCATTCTTTTCACAGTCTGGTGGTTTGAAATAGCATTTATGTGCTGATGACTCCCAAATCAGAGATCTCACTTTTCAATTCCAGCTTTTATACACAGTTATGTATTTGACATCTCTTGCATATCTAATACATCATTTCAAATTCAGTATGTCCAAAACTGAACACGTGATCTTTAACCCCTCAAAACCTGCTGTATTCACAGCCTTCACCATCTCAGCTGAAGACAACTTAAAAATTCCAGTAAAGTAAAAAACCTTGAAATTCTCGTTACTCCTTTTATCTCACTCCCCGCTGTCAATCAGACAGGAACTCCAATCTTGAGAAAATATTCAGAACCCAGCCTTTTCACTTCCACTTCTTTCACCTTGATCTGAACCATCCTCATCTCTCACGGGGTTACCCCAGCAGCCTCCTAACTGGTCTTCCTGAGTTTGCACCTGTTTATATAGTCTACTGTATTATCTACTTTGCAACCTTTTTTTTTTCCCAAAGGAGGCCTCGAAGGACTTCTTAGCTTAAAGCCCTGCAATACCTCTGTTCCTCTCAGAACAGAAGCCTAAGTTTTTACACTGAATTATGAGATCCTAGGTGAGTTGGCTCCCTTTTATGTCTCTGATTTTATTAATCTCTTTACCTACACCAGGCATATTTCCCATTGGGGCCCTTCTGCTCCTTTTCCCTCTGCCCAGTTGGCCTCTTCTGAACTTTGCCCAAAGCTAACCACTATCCTGACTTCTAACAACATATATTAGTTTTACTTGTATTTGTACTTTGTACAAATGGAATTGTACAGTAAGGGCTCTTTTGTGTCTGTATTCTGCCCAACATGTTAATGTATTTCATCTGCATTGTTGCATATAGTTATAGTTTGTTCATTCTCATTGTATAATAATAGTCTTATATGAATATAACCTAATTTATTTATCTTGAATGAACAAATTATTTAAGATGCCCAGATCTTGCCGTGGCTGCTGTGGCTCAGTGGACTGAGCACCAGCCTGTGAACCGAAGGGTTGCTGGTTCAATTCCTGGTCAGGGCACATGCCTGGGTTGTGGGCCAGGTCCCCAGTTGGGGCTGTGTGGGAGGCAACTGATTGATGTGTCTCTCACACTCACACATCAATGTTTCTCTCCCTTTCTTTCTCCCTTCCCCTCTCAAAAACAAAGAAACAAACCCAGGTTAAAAAAGAAAGAAAGATCCCCAGATCTTCTCTTTCCTTCTTTGTGTCACCAGCATTGTTGTGAAGTTTAATTAATTAATAAAGCATTTAGAATGGTATCCAGTACATAGTAGCTACTCAATAGAGGTTAGTTATTAATTTTGTTATATTCAGATATTTTATTCAATTCAATGATCTCACCCTTTTCTGAAGTGCTATACAGTCACTGCAGCATTCTTTGGAATGCCAGTTTGGCTTCACCGCTGGGAGGGGCCAACATGGGTGATCTCAGTGGCCCATTCTGTCTTCAGTACATAAAACAAGCTAGACCAGTTGGATTCTCTCTATCCAAGGCGTCAGGAAATCTGAAATAGTGGCCAGTGACTGGGGGTTGCTAGTTAACTCATCTGGACCCCTCAGAGGAAAGGTCCAGGAATAATCTCACTGAACTCTTTGGCTTCTGCCTTCCCTGGGGTTGGCTGTTTAATCCTTTTTGCCATCCAGGGAGCCTGTATCCCTAACATCTGCCCTCAGTATCCTCTTAATCCAAACCCTTTTCCCCTTCATTAAATAGACTGTTTTTTAATCCCCCAAAAGACCTCAAAGACTCACTTAACACTTAAATTGTCAGGCTTTATAGTGTTGTGCATCCTTTATTCCACCCAATTACACCAGTACTTTCATCCATCCATCTATCCATCCATCCATCCATTCAATTTTAAATATTATTGAGGGCTTATGATATGTCAGGCATTATAGGGTAGATCATATTATCCTTATTTTCGGGTGAAAGACTCAGAGAGGCTGAATGATTTATTAAGGTTATTCAGTTCATATGGTGATGGAGAATGTTGGTTCAAAGTAACCCTTGCTCTTCACCATAGGCCTGGATGGTTTTTCTTTTTTTGATATGTATCTTTTCATACCTCCTAAATTCTTTGATGTCAGGGTTACACTATATGTCTGGAATCCCCCTTGGCATACAAAATTCTCTGCTATAGTAGACACATTGCTTATCTTGGCAAATCCTCACTCCCCTTCCCTCAAAGATGCTTCACTCCTTTCCAAACCCAGGAAAAAAAAAACCCACAGAGACCAAGCTGACTTGATCTGGAGAAGGAGGAGAATTTATTTTGGTTTGACTTTGGCTCACAATTTTGTATTCTTTTTTTGTGTGTGTTGGGGTCATTAGAAGCATCTTCAATCTCACCACAAATCAAGGCAATTCAGAGATAGCTTTCTTGGCTGGAGGACCCATTGGTTTCTCTTGCTCCCTTGCTTTCTCCTCATACATAAGGATCCTGATCAAGATAGGAAGAGACACAAGGATCAAGAGAATAAATCTTATGCTGCTTTGAAAGTCTAGAAGAAGGGTAGGGGTTTCAAGGGTGGGAGGAGGAGGAGGAGGAGGAAGAGCAGGGGGAAGAGCAGGTGGGGGTTCTGGGGACTGAAGAGACCAAAACTATGGATGGGGATAGGACCTTCGAAGGGTTTCTCAAAGGATGGAAGAAATGGATGCTGAGTAACGGGTAGTAGGTGAGCCTGGGGATGGGGGTAGGGGTGGAGAGAAAACAGGTAAGTATCGGGGAGGTTGGAGCTGGACCCGGGGGGGGGGTCTTTCCTGGCTCTGGCTTTCCCCCTATAGCAATTCCCTCACATTTTTAGGATGGCAGATCTCTTGCCCAACATCATCCTGAGAAAGTCAGAGTAGTTGAAAGTCTCTCCAGAGCCGCTGGAAACCTCCTTGATTAATTTCTTTAGTTCCAGGTGGGTCTTGGGTACCCCAAGTTTCTCCAGCATTCGCTTCAGGGACATGATATCTAGAGATAAAGGATAGGGGTGACAAGATGAGAAGTCTCTCTCTCCCCTGTACCTCCACATTCCCATTCCCTTTCTCTTATCCTAGTAGCTCAGCCCTTTCCCAAACCGTCAGTAACGGAACGCTGTAGGAGAGATCTCTCTCTTCCTAGGTTTGCACACTTCCCCAAATCACCCTTTTCTCACCAATATCTCCGTTTCCATTCAGGTCAAACTCCATGTATTTCCCTGGGTGAGGGGAGAAAGCAGAGGGTAAGCTCTAGCTGAAAGGGCAGGGGCAGGGCAGAGGACTGAGAAAGAAGTTGCTACCAAATGCTAGGTGGGGGAGAAAGTGTGAAAGAAGGAGGTGGGCCAGGCAGAGGAAGTAGAGGTTGGGGAGATGAATGGCTCAGTTAAGGCATTCTGAGTTTAGGGGGCTGCTGAGAGGGGCTGGGCAGGGAGAGCGACTGCAAACAAGGGGCAACAAAGGCAGCCTTCCCTCATCCACCACAAAAGTAGGCTGTGTCTCTGCACTCCCCCTTCTGTTCTTAGGGAAATCCTACCCCTTCACCTCCCATTCACCCCCACAGTTTTTCCCTCACTCTTAAAGGCTTCCAGTTTGGAGGGCAGATCCTCATCACTGCTGTACTTGGGATCATCCAGGAATTGCTGTGGAAATAGCCAGAGCCAGGGTAGGCCCTCCAGCCCATGGCCCCTTCCCCCGGGCCCGGCCCCCTTAGTTCTTCCTTTTACCTTGTTGATTTCATTCAGGCTCTCTTCCTGCCTGGCCTTCAGCAGCCCAAAGGTCTTTCCTCCTGGGGGGTCACAAAGGTTAATGTATCCTCACCCTGAGACCAGCCTAGAGCCATCCCAGTTCTGCCTTCCTAGGCCAGCTAACAGCCTTCCTGGCCCTTGGCCCACGCTGTTGGCTCCTTGCTCACATTTGAGGCTTCTGCCTCTCCCACCTTTCATACCTTGTAAATCCCTGGTTTGGCTCATGGCTCAGCAGATGCTGGTGGAGACAGACAAGCTTGCTGTTTCTCTGCCTGCCAGCTCTGCTCTCCCACCGCCTCCTAGGGGGCCTCCCTCATAAACTTCCCCTTTCTCCTCATTACCTCCTCCTCTACCTCCAGTCATCACTTCCCCATCAGCTTCTGCTGACACTGGGAACCCCAGGAAGAAGGGGGAGCTGAATGTAGCATGGAGATGAGAAGATGACATCCTCTCAAATTCCTCTGAAGGAGAGCCCTCTGTGTGCATGAAAGAAATATCTTGATAAGCTTTTGGAGGTGTGGGGGAAAGACAGTAAGATCCCAGGGGCATTTATTCTCAGGAACAAGTGGTCCTTGAACAGGTCTAAAGATTCAGGTAACTCTAAGGCCTTGCATTTCATCAGGTTTCATGAGTCTGGCTCGTGGTTTGGGATAGGGGGCTGAGGAAGGGCTGACTGGATTCTTCTGTGCTTAGGAGAAGAATCTGAAGTCCTGGAGGTGGCAAGCTGGGTCCAGGGTCTGGAAAGGAGAGAAACTTCCTTCTGGGCTGGGCAGCTCCAGAGAGGCACTTGGAAATATGGAAATGTCTGTAACAAAGGCATTTCAATTTGTTTGCTTTAGGATATACAATGTAACTCCCTCATCTTCTCCCCTTTGAATTCTTTAGTAAAATCTGCAGAGCTCAGGAATTTGAGAATTGAAGTAGATTCTTTGGAGGAACTGAAAGTGGTGCTGAGAGAGACAGCATTTATGGACACAAGAGCCAGGGGGGCCCTGGCCAGTACAGCTCAGTTGATTGGAGTGTTTTCTCATAAACTGAAAGGTCATGGGTTTGATTCCCAGCCAGCGCACATGCCTGGGTTGCAGGTTCAGACCCCAGTTGGGGTGCAGGCAAGAGGTGACTGATCCATGTTTCTCTTTTACATGAACGTTTCTCTCCTCTTTCTCCCTTCCTTCCCATCTCTCTAAAATCAATAAGCAGCCTGGCTGGTAACACTTAGTGGATTGAGTGCAGGACTGCGAACCAAAAGGTCAGCAGTTTGATTCCGGGCCATACACGTGCCTGGGCCAGGTCCCCATTGGGGGCGTGCACCCAGTTGGGGGTGTGCGAGGGGTAACCAACTGATGTGTCTCTCCAGAGCATGTTGATGTTTTTCTCCCTCTCTCCCTCCCTTTCCTTCTCTCCAAAAGTAAATAAATAAAATCTTGTAAAATGTCTTTGGATGAAGGTAAAAAAAAGAAGATCCTGAGGTGAGGCCAACATTACGTTTACATGTGTGGTAAGGGTGCTGGTCACTGTGGGTTCAACAGAGCCCTCAAATTCCCTCCCTAGGTGAACCCTTCATCTCCCTTGCTGCTCTGTTTGACTAGTCACTGCTAAGGAAGGTGAAGACAGGTGTGTCCCCATTACTGAGATCCTTTTGTCCAAACTCCCTGCCCAGAGTTCCATCCCCTCTACCCCAGCATTGATGGAAACACCTTTCATTCTCTCCCCTCGACCTATTCCCCTTCTGCAGCTGGGAGTTTTCATTTCTCACTGCCCTCTCCCTCACTCATGCAGGTAGGGGGAGATGCTGGAGGGGACTTTGACTTAATTTTTAGTTAATTAATGTTTTATCCTTACCTGAGAACATGCTTACTGATTTTAGAGAGAGAGGAAGGAAGGGAGAGAGATGTGGAGAGAAATATCAATGTCAGAGAGAGAGACATTGTTGTGTCTGGTATGAACCCCAACTGGGACTAAACCCATGACCTAGGCATGTGTCCTGACCCAGAATCAACCCGCACTTTCAGTTTATGGGATGACACTCCAACCAACTGAGCCACACTGGCCAGAGAGAACTTTGACTTCTTGACTACGCTTTATTGCAACTGCTTCTCTCCTTGGAGAGAAAGCTGCAATCCTGCACTCCCAATGGTATGACTGCCTGGTAGGGGGGATTCATTTCTTTACTCATACATTCACTCAACAAATATTTATTGAATACTAACTATATGCCAGGTATGCTTTTAAGCCCAGTGAACCAAACAAATGTGAACTCTTGTCCTCAGGGACAGTCTAACTGGGGAAGAGAGACAATAAAAATAAACAAATATATTGAAGGTGGTAGGTGCCCATGGAGAAAAAGTAAGGAAGGGAGACAGGAAGTGCTGTGGTGGACTGCAGTTCATTGGTTAATAACATGTAAGTTGCAGGTATACAATTTTATAATACAACATTATGTGCTCACCACCCAAAGTCTAGTCCCTTATGTCACCATGTATTCGACCCCCTTTACCTACTTCGTTTTCCCTCTTCCCCACTTCCCCTAGACCGCAATCTTAAATAACTGCAATCTTAAATAGGGTAGTCAGGGAGACTTCACTGAGAAAGTAATATTTGAGCAAAGATTTCAAGGAGGTGAAGGAATAAGCCATGTGGATACATGGGAGAAGATCATATTAGGCAGCAGGAACAGGAAGTACAAAGGTCCTGAGGTGACATGTTTGGGTGGCTGGAGTATTTGTGAAGCATGAAAGGGGACAATGTAGCTGGAACCAGGTAGGTGAGGAGAAACAGAGGCAGGAGATGAGGCCAGACTGAGTAGGACCACTGGGAAAACTCTGACTTTTATTCAGAGTGAGATTGCCTCTCAAAGTGGTCTTTTCTTTTTTTTTTTAAGATTTTATTTATTTTTTAGAAAGAGGGGAAGGGAGGAAGAGAGGGAGATAAATACAGATGTGTGAGAGGTACATTGATTGGTTGTCTCTTGCACGCCCCCAACTGGAGACCTGGCCTGCAACCCAAGTATGTGGCCTGACTGGGAACTGAACTGGCAACTTTCTGATTCGCAGGCCAACACTCAGTCCACTGAGCCACAACAGCCAGGGCTGAGAGTGGTCTTTCCATCCATGATAGCTTGGCAGACTACCATGGTGAGATAGAGCTTAGATGCTCAGAAAAATGTCCTGTGCTAATGTGAGAACTGCTCTGACTGTGGGACAAAAATGAAGAGTAAAATGTATCTAACAGGGCAAGTGGATGAAAAATTTCACTCAGCCTAACACAGATGTGAGGAAAGGCTGTGACGAGCAGACATGCAAGGAGACACCTTCCACCCAAATTCAGGGTCGGCCCCTTGACCACAGAGAGGCTGGTGCACAGCAGTTAGGGCTGAAAGGGACATGGGGCTTCTGGGCAGAGAACTGCCAGGGTGCAGTGTGGGTGCTACAGCAAGGAATCCATTGAGAACTTTGAAATAAGGGAAGATAACCCTCTCCTTAAAGCACGGGTTCTCAGCCTATGGTCCTTCCACCAGCATAATGCAGAAGCATGTTAAAAATACACATTGTTGGGCTCCAGCCTGGACCCACTGGTTCAGAAACCCTGGGGCTGGAGCCTAGCAATAGCTTCTGCAGCTCGTGCCTCAGATGATTCTGATACATGCTCAAGTTTAAGAGCCACTTCTCCAAAGCAATAAAGTGGTTTCTAAACCTCCAAGGCTACTAAACCCTGGCTGCAGGTGTCAACATAGCTTAAGCACAGGTCAGTGAGTGGTGGGGCTCATCATCCTTGGATGCAGAAAAGGCAGGGGTCACTGAGGCCAGGGTTGCTAGTGTCCAGCCAAGCAGTCAGGGAGAGAATGTTGAGCTGGCTTAAAAAATTACCTGGCTGGTGTGGCTCAGTGGATTGAGTGACGGCCTGCAGACTGAAAGGTTGCCAGTTCAATCCTCAGTCAGGGCACGTGCCTGGGTTGCTGGCCAGGTCCCCAGTTGAGAGAGGAAACACATCGTCGTTTCCCTGGCATGTTATTTTTCTCTCCCTCTCTTTCCCCTTTGTCTGAAAACAAACAAACAAACAAACAAATTAATTAATAATTACTCACTGGAAGTCGGTGACATTAGAGTCCCTTATGGAACTGGCACCATGTTGCCAAGGGCCTGTGTCATGATGCCATGCTCTTCAGGGGCACTGCTGGTTAGAGCCAGGCCCTGTAGAGTGTGCCTACAGGGAGAGAGTACACTGGCCAGAAAGCTTGTCTGTGTGAGCCCTGGATGTTTTCTGTTTGCCCCTCTATTTCCCCTCCCCCTCAACTGTGCCCAAGAGACTAGACTGTACAGACCACATCAAGGGCACCTCTGGCTTCTAGCTGTTTTTGGCTGATGAAGAGCCTGGCAGAAACACAGTGGGAGGAAGGACATTAGATTGAGAGTATTCATTCCTCTGGCTACCTTCCCACAAGGTCACCTCAGGCTGGCCAAAACCTCCACCTCAGGGCAGTGCTCCTCTCCAGGCAACCTGCTGTAGAGGACTATGTTCCTCCAGTATTGGGTAGGCCTTGTAATTCATTTTAGGTGGTCTGTGAACTTGGAAAGGAAAAAATGTACCTCATTTTCTCATGTCCAACATTACATATGTTGCCTCGCCAAAGACCACTTCACAGTTTAAAGTCCTTATTTGAGCCAAACAATGATATTGTTTGCACCGATGTCTTCATTAAAATCTAACTTCAACTCTCTTGTATTTTAAGTGTCTTGCCTTTTATTTAATGTGGTAATAAAGAAGTACATGGTATATGCTTTTTCAACTTTTTATTAATATTTTGATAACTGAAATTCAATATAATTGGTTTACTTTGTGTTATATATTACAAATGAGTAAGAATCCCTGCTGGGACCAATATTCATGGGATATAAAGTACAGCATAGGGAATATAGTCAGTAATACTGTCATAACTATATGTGGTGCCTGGTGGGTACTGGAATTAGTGGGGGGATCACTCATAAATTATATAAATGTCTAACTACTGTGCGATATACCTGAAACCAATATAATGTTGAATGTGAACTGTCACTTGAAAAATAAAATGCAAACTAATAAGAACAACAATAGAAAACAATCCATCCCTGCTGGAACCTGTCTCTCCCCTCATCCCTGGGACCTGGGCTGGCAATATCCCTGTGATTCCTGTACAGCCACCTCACTCCACCTTTGCAAAGAAACCATCTCCAGCCCTGGCTGGTGTGGCTCAGTGGATTGAGTGCCAGCCTGCAAACCAAAGGGTCGCCGGTTTGATTCCCAGTCAGGGCACACCCGTGGGTTGCGAGTCAGGTCCCCAGA